TGAAACTGATAGAAGACTGTAAATACCTTCGAAACTTGTTAATCCTGTGTATGCATATACAAGAGCTGAACCAAGCAGAATTAGACCTGATGAAAGACCACCTAGAAGGAAGTATTTTAGTCCGGCGCTAGTTGCTGATTCTGAATCTCGGTATAGAGCTGCAAGAATATAAACTGCGAATGATTGTAATTCAATACTTAAGTACATAGACACAAGGTCTGCGCTTGAAATAAGGAATGTTGCACCACATGTTGTGAACAGAATAATTAATGAATATTCTGGAATAGATGGCGTCATAACGTTAGTAGCTGTGTTATTAGCATTGTTACCTGTTGTTAATTTAGCAGGAGCCCAAGGCAGAATAACAAAAGCTGCAATCACAAAGATAAATGTATCAATTACTTGTGAAAGTGACGTTACTTGGAATAGACCACTATAAATACCTACACCTGATCCAATAGCTTGGATATAACTAGCATTAAATGATAATGCTGCGGCGTAAAGTAAAATGATAGAAGTTACTCGAATTAGAAGAAGGGGAGAAATACGAACTGTAGGAAGCGCTACGGCCATCATTAGAGAAAAAATACCTAATACAAGCATTGCTACCTCTCTCACTTCTTGTGATAATAGCTTTAATTACCATACCTAATTTATGCGAATGAAGAGACTTGAACTCTTACGTCGTTAAGACAACTCATCTTAAGTGAGGCATGTCTACCATTCCATCACATTCGCTAATATCTTTTGAAATAAACTAAACAAGTACTTTCTACATATTACACAAATCAATAGTTACTTTTACCACATTGATTACACAAGGATAATACAATTACAAGATAATTGATAGGGGATTAAGTTGTGTTAGTATTACTTACGTTGTACTAGTGGCAGTAATACAAGTGTTCCTAGGTATAGTAGAATTAGTCCCATACTTCCTGAGCTTAGATCTTCAGCACCTGGTACAAGTGATGTAAATAGAAGCGGAGCGAATAGTAGGAAGATGAATGAAATTAATCCTAAGATAATGTATAGGGCGTAACTTGTAATTACTCCAGTATCGTAGTTTGATACTGATTTACCTGCGTCAGTTAATACAGTTGAGAATCCATGTGGCCCGAATAATTCGATAACCCCACGATCTAGTACTTTAGAGAAGATAAACCCAAGGTATAGACCTCCGTTAATAATGTACTTGTTATACACTACATCGAATAGCCATTTTCCATTGAAGAACCGGTATAGCGCACTACCAATGGCGTTGTTTGTCAGGTTAATTGTAAATTGAGGTACAACGTGGTAAAGATATAGAGCAGCAGCTGCACCACATACACTACCGATTGCTGGTAGTAGTTTGAATAGTTGTGGTAGCCCGAATTCTGCTTCAACTAATGAAACATGATCTGGGTGTTGGAATAGTGCTGTTGATAGGAAATCTGATCCAATACCTACGAATAAGTCTTTAGCAACATAACCAAATACAATTGACATAATTGATAGGATCACTAGAGGAATTACAATAATTGTTGGAGCTTCGTGTGTGTGTAGGTAATCACCTTTTGGAGCGTTAGGTACAGTGAAGAATGTTAGAGAAACTAATCGTAATGAATAGAAGGCAGTAAATACCGCAGAAATAGTTCCTAACCAATATGCTACGTTACCACTTAATTCGTATTGTCCTTTAGCAACCTCTAAGATCAGATCTTTTGAGTAGAAACCTGTAAGGAATGGGAATGCCATTAGTGATAATGAACCAATTAGAATTGCTGTGTAAGTAAATGGTAAGAAGTTAACTAGACCACCAAGTCGTCGGAGATCTTGTTGATCGGCCATAGCATGAATTACTGCACCAGCAGCAAGGAATAGTAGTGCTTTGAAAAAGGCGTGGTTAACAAGGTGGAATAGAGCAACATTATATTGACTAAGTCCAACTGCCATAAATAGGTATCCCATTTGTGACATAGTACTATATGCAATAACTCGTTTGATATCGTTTTGTAATAGTCCTGTTGTAGCTGCAACAAATGCTGTTAATGCACCAACCCAAGTAATAACTACTAGAACTGTTGGTGAATATTCAATCACAGGAGATGATCGGAGCATTAGGTAAACTCCAGCTGTAACTAGAGTAGCGGCGTGAATAAGTGCAGATACCGGAGTAGGTCCTTCCATCGCGTCTGGTAGCCAAGTATGTAGTCCCAGGTTCGCTGATTTAGCCATAGCTCCAAGAAGTAGAAGTAATCCAATGATTGTAATAGCTGTTTCGTTGATAAATGGTGCAACACTAAATACTGTTGCGTAATCTACATTACCAAATACCCAGAAGATTGCAAAGAATCCTACGCTAAGGAACATATCACCAACACGGTTAACAGTTAAGGCTTTGATACCTGATTTGTTAGCCTGGATCCGAGTGAACCAGAAGTTAATTAGTAGGTATGATGAAATACCAATTCCCTCCCATCCTACAAACATGATTAGATAGTTATCACCTGCTACAAGAACAAGCATGAAGAAAGTGAACATTGATAGGTATGAGAAGAATCGTTGGTTGTGAGGATCTTCTGCCATGTATGAAATTGAATATAGGTGTACTAGTGATGAAACAATTAATACGGGTAAGAGCATTGATACAGTTAGGCTGTCAAATAGGAATCCCCATGAAACAAGCATAAATTCTGAGTCAATCCATGAGAATAGTTCGATAGAAACAGATGAACCACATAGTCCAACTTCGTAGAATGCAACTAGAGCTAGTCCAGCAGTGATCATTAATGATCCTGTTGTAATGATGTGAGCTCCTGTTACACCAATTTTACGACCAAGAAGACCTGCTACAGCAGATCCAAATAGTGGTAGAGCAAGAATACTTAGATACATTATGTTCGTAGTGAAATATTACCTCTTAATCGGTAGTATGCTACAAGAATACCTAGTCCAATGGCGGATTCGGCACCTGCAATAGCAATAATGTAAATACTGTATGTTTGCCCTGTAATATCGTCAAATGCATATGAACTAATCAGTACTAGTAAAGTAACTGCTAGAAGCATAAGTTCAATTGAGATAATCATTAAAATGATATTTTTTCGGTTAAGAATGAAACCTAGAATACCAATTAAGAATAGAACTAGAGAAAGGTTCATGATAGTAATTTTATTTCCATATGGACAAGTGTATATGCTATTGAATTAGCTAAGTAAAGTTGTTAACTGATCTTCAACGTATTGTGTAGTCTAAATTAAGACAAGTGATCGAGACGAGAAGAAGCGGATTCGAACCGCCATAGCCCTCCTTGACAAAGAGGTACATTAACCTTTATGCTATCCTCCCTATATATCCTTTAACATTCCATATTGTATGTCACTTAATACAAACTATTGAAATACAATATCACAACTTTCTTTTATATCTGCAATGATGAAAGGGGATTTGTGTGTGTTATTAATCAGCCGCAGGTTCCCCTACGACTACCTTGTTTCGACTTTAAATAAGTCAGTAGTAGGCATTCGACAAGCGAAGTCTTCCATGTAAAGCAGTAATCTATAAAAATTACTAACTCTGCATATGTTTACCTTACTCATCTTCATACCTATAAACCTCCCTACCCATGACGAGCGGTTAGTACACCCAAGAGATAATATTCACCACCCCGTAATGATGGGTGATTACTCGGAATTCCTGCTTCATGTGAGCGAGTTTCAGCTCACAATTCGTACATTACTATTTTTTGATGGTTTGCTATTGCTTTCACTTTAGCATCATTTTGTATAATAGTCTTGTGGCACGTCTATAGCCCAGTCCATAAGGGCCATGAGGGTTTGTCATAGTCCTCTAACTTCTTATCGAAGAGATACTATAGGATTAAACCTATAGCGAGGATTGCGTCCGTTTATTGGAATTAACCATACGCTTAACAGCACGGACTGGCGACAACCATGCAACACCTGTGCAACATTCAAGGACTGGTAAGATTTTACGCGGATCATCGTATTAAATAACATGCTTCACTCCGTTTGCTCTCAGGCCGTCTAATTATTTATATTTCAACCTTGCGGTTATACTCTACAGGTGGTAGATTTAATGCGTTTGCTACAGGACTAAACAAAATTAATCCTGAATCTACATAGTTTACAGTTGGGAATACTCAGGTATCTAATCTGTATCTATGCCCCAACCTTCGTACCTTACCGTCAGTTGTTAATAGTAAGTGGCCTTCGCCTTTAGAACTCCCCTTAGGATAATAAGATATCAGCCCTCCTCTAAGTATTGTACTTACCTCTTTTCAACTCTAGCAATTATATGCCGGCTACGTACCCTTTACACCAATTCATTGTTACTATTGCTTGTAGAAGCCGTCTTACCGCTCTTGCTGGCACGGCAATTTAGATCTACTGCTGGAGAAAAGATCATTATTCATTTCTCGTTATCCAAGATAAATATTATCGCTCTTGGAATCTAGGTGGCGTGTTCTCGCGGGCTTTTTAGGGCTATGCGAATTGACAACGATTCATCACTGCTGCGCAACGTCTGTTACTTTGGACTTTTTCATTTCCATTGCCATATTTAAAACTTTCATTCTATATTACTCATCATCGGCTTGTTGGGCCATTACCCCACCAACTACCTATTGAGATACTAAGCAAATCTCTAAACAGACTATTTGTCTTTACACGTCATCTCTACGTATTTAAAGGTATTTTCTCAGTATTTCCTGGCCGGTTCGCTATGATCCTTCTCTTTAAAAAAGAGACCGAGACCATTTAAACTAGCATGTGTTAATCCCCTAGATAGCAATCAGTATGCACCATAATCAAATGCTTTCTAATATTTGTTATGACCTATTAGACATAACATTCAAATTAACATAACTTTACATTGTGAAACTATGTTAACCCTTATTGTATAACATTACTTTCTCTAACTACCATGACATACATAGAAGCTAAATCCAATAAAGCTATTGTTCAAATTTATCCTTATTAATAGACAAGAAAAGTTATAAGTACTCAGGATCGAACTGAGATCATCTACTTGGAAGGCAGAGGCACTAACCATTGTACTATACTTACTCAATCTGTTGACTGTTAATCTATTCTTTTATACCAAAGGTGATAATTATAATTCAAGAGCGAGAGGAATCGAACCCCTACAAACAACTTTGGAGGTTGCAATACTACCGTTATACTACGCTCTTATATTAGTCACTTTTATAACTATAACTTATTAACATAAATATACTATTATACACTATTTCTACCTAAATATAACATAACACATAAATCAAACAAGATAACTAACTAAATTTAATAATAAACATCACAAGAAGAAAAGGGAAAA